GCCAAACATTTTAAAGGAAAATCTAAAATCTAAAATGTGAGTTCTAACATAGTATCATAAATAGTTGAATATAGGTGGACATAGACTTTGAATTGGTATTACCACTTAGTTTTAGATATTGGTTGGTGGCAAATATATCTTACCTTTACAAATAAGAATTTATACAGAGAAGCAAAATTAGACAAAAGAACCCTACTTGTTTGATTTTTCTACCACAGCTTCCCATCTTTCAGATCATTTAAAGGAAGATAAATGATGAATTATTCTTGGGACAGCAAACATTCATCTATTTTAGTAATAATCAAAGAGTCTAAACACCCATAGCAGTAAGCAATTCAGTGTATTCTCGACGTGTGCATTTGTTTACAAAATAAATGTACCATGTACTTTCCATACATATACACACACATGTAAATGTATTCTAAAAGAATGACAAGATACCTTTGGAAATGACCCAAGTAGAGGATTATTAAATCTACCCTTGGGTAAATATGTCTTCTAGCAACATTATAATTTGTACTGATAATTAGTGTTTGATGTAATATTCTCCAAATACAGGAATTCAGTTCATTTGTTTTCTCCTGCCTGGGAGTCTCTAGTGTGATGTTAGGTATCTGGCCTATACTTAATCATCCTTCTACCACCAGGAATAGAGTCAATAAATGGGCTTCACAACTAAAAAACTACACTGAATAAGGCACTATAATCGCCAAGTGATTTATAACAGACAGCTTGAGAGACAGAGGAAGTCATAAGCACTATATTTGAATTTCTTTAAAAAACACCTTTAGTAGAATATATGCTTCGCTCCCACTCCTCCACCCAGGGCCATAAACCCGTACTACCACTTTAACCTGCACATTCAGTGTATCTTGTCCCGGATTCAGGAAGTACAGAATCTTACAGTAGTGATTCACAAACTTTGTACTAAGGACTCTGCTGGAAAGAGCCTCTTTGGGTTAAAACCTAAGACCACAGCAAATCAATGTTTATCACCAAACCTTTATATTCCTCTCATCTCATTTCCTACTTTCCATTTCCTCTATCCTTTCGTATTTTATCCAAGTCTAGACTTATTCCCTCTTTCACCTTAAGTAATTCCCTATGGCTGCACAGAATTTCTGAGAGCACAGCATATTCAATAATAAAATGACAAATATCACCAAAAGGCTTATAGTAGTCGGACTCCTAAATGTTCTTTGTCTGTTGATTCAACTATAGACTAAAAGAAGCATTCAAAACCTAAAGATTTAGAATTCTATGAATGGAAACCAAATCATTTTGCTATTCTTGTGTTTGACACATTGAACATGCCAAAAGAAATGAGTAAAACAACTCAAAACTGCAGTCAAAAAACCCTGCTGTTTACTTGTACTTCACAAATTGTTGAGAAACAAATGTCACTGCTATTAACATACTGAAAGGTTTACAGATTTTAACATCCTTCTTAACAATGTTCCTTTAACTATGCTCTTATTAAACATCTGAAAAAAGGACTAGAAATTATAACCAAAACCACGTAAATCTATTTGTAGTCCCATTTATGAATGGAAACTATATGAAGACTCAGTCATGCTGCTCCATTTGGTTAGCAGTAGCAGTTAGTCTTATTTTATACTATTAGTCTGTTCTATTACTATTTAATATTATTCATCTGTTCAATTATGTTCCAAACACGAAAAATAAACCAGTTATATTGACAGCAGTCATAAATGAAAGATCAATGACAGACTGAGATGAGACTAACAACTTTCAGTCTGTATACCTTCAAAGAAATAAGCAGTAACTTAATCTTTAGACAATCCAAGAGGCAGAGTTAAGTCTCCTGTGGTTATTGACAAATGTGTATTATCACATTATTTGAAACTGGGGCAAAAAAGGAAAAGCCTTTAAACTTCCGTATGTAGAATACTGTTTTATCATACTTCCCCACTGTAAAAAGAGGGAGGAAGTAAGAAATACCAAGATTTTCTGTAAGAATAGAATTATCAGGAATACTGCTTCCTTATCTTGAAGGCCAAGTCTAAGATCGGTTAATACCTTCACAATGTAAAATCACTTGCCATTTAGGAGTTATATAGTGACTTAGAGAAACCATTTGTGCAACTATACCAAAAAGCAGTTTTCTGGTAACTTTTCAGTCTATCATTACAGAAATAATAAAAAAAACAAGGTAAGGATTCTCAATTCAGCTCAAGGGGAACATTACCAAAACACAATATCCTGCATGAAATATGATAACTCTGACTAAACAATCCACTTGAATGAAGCCTTGTTTCAGCAGTATATTTGAAGTAAAGGAAATGATTGTTAAACTATCTGATAAAACTTGGAAAGTTAACATTCCTCAGAAACATTACCAAGAATGAATTACTGGTGTTAATAGCAACTAATAAGTGGGTAAACAGTTATTCTTTTGATTTTAGAGGAACAATTTTAACTCAGGCAGGTAAAAAGCTTCTAAAAATGTCACCTACAAAAAAATAAATTCGGGTGGTGCCAGTGACTACATGTGCAGATCTGACACACCTGCATGTGCATATAGCAGACACTCAAATGTTTTTGTAGAAACAGCTAGGCAAAACATTCCCCAGAACCAATGAACTAGAAATATCAAACAGCTACTGTACTGCAGACATCAGCCCAGCTCTATTGTCTGGGGAATGTAAGGTTAAAGTCACAGGAAACAGCTGGATGGTAGGTCTCAGAAAGCAGTTTCCAAGCCTTTAACAGAGGAACTTAACAAGCAGTTCCTCACGTGCTAGACATCACCTGAATTCCAAAGTAAGTGTTAGAGAAGCTAGGTTCCTACTGAATGTTTGAAAGCAACTAAAAGTCTCATTTTAAGATCTTCAGAAACAATCCTCCACTTGAGAAATGGTTCTATGAGCAGAGTTTTATGTACTTAAGACTCCTAAACTGTCTGGAAGTCTTTCTTGTTTTGCCTTAGGCACCAAGGATTTAGTAGGCAAGGCTTTTATGTCACCAAGCTAGCTCCCCTAAATTAACCAGATGAAATGCAGTCTGTGGTAAACAATAGCCTGCCCAGCTGAGAAGAGTTGGGGAAATCTGTGTACAAATGAGAACATCAGCACATTTTTATTGTTAATATCAAATCTGAAGGACTGGGGAACTTCACAAACGGGTTGCAAATGAAAACCGTGTTTAGAAAAGTACTGTGTTGTGTTGTGATTACAGATATTCAAAGCCCCATGATGGCCTGCACATAACATCATTTGTATTTTAATACCTGTATGTCTCTATATTCCACAAAAAAAGAGAACGATTGAATTTTACATGTAGAAATTCTCAAACTGATTTCAAATAACTTAGATTGCATCTTATTTCCTGTATGAACTTATTTATATGTATACACTATACAGTTAAGTTCTTGATCTGTGTAGATAAGAACAAAATTCAAATATTCCACTTTCAATTTCTATGGAACAGGTATTTGTTAAAGACTCTTATAACTAAGGGATTACCATCAAGACTTTAACATATAGGTTAGTGGAACAATCTATACTCTACCCCCTCCCCCACATCAGCATTCCCAGTGTCCATCTGTTCATACAGGTTCTTAGAATGTATCTGAAAATGAGGAATCTTAAAAGTCAGCATTTCAACTTTTGAGAATAAAAGTTTATAAACATACCTGTTGTTGAATTCCAGTTTAGTGAATTTTATTGCAAATCTTGCAGCTGATGAAAAGCAAAAAGCAACCAACTTTCTGTAGTGATTAACCTGTTCTTTGAGACTATGGGTCATATGCCCCAGGATTTTCTAATTGAACAAGGAATCCATCAGGGCCAAATAATTGCTTTTCAAAGGTGGGCCAGAATGGAATAGACATTTATATCTTCACTTCAAGAGAGAAGCAATGGGATGTAATCCTCTGAGTATCTTTTGGTAGATGTTACCTTTGTCTCTTATCCTCATTTCATGAGATCAGCCTGTGAATTTGTGTCCATGCTTTGACTTCATAATTAAAAATAAAAAAAATGTTACCCTGTGTTTCTTCTAACACCTAAATATGTATACATAAACCATCTTCATTCCTTATCAAGTGTTTTCAGCATGACCAGTGTGTAACTGACATTCACATAGCTTAGAGAATTTAAGTCTTCTCAGAAAAAATACTTGTAGCTGAACCCCTATAATCATGACAAGAGATTGATTAAAATGCCAAGATAAGAAACAATTTATTATAGAGAGAAGAAAAATTTCTCGTCCAAAATATAGAAATCTGTACAACTTTGCCACAATCAATATACATGAACTGCACAAATTTACACCAGTTCATAATTTACCAAATAAAAGATGACTAACAAAGTTCACAAAATAGATGGTGGTTTGTGGAAAAGACTTTTACCCAATTAAGTACAAGGAAAGTTACAAACCAGACCTCCACTTTCTAAAAATAAGAAGTTTACTCAGTCTTAGAAAACTACAAGCTAACAAATGTACAAGAGAGCTGGCTGGTGCTAACACCACAGTTGAGACAGTGTCTTTGTAAGGGTCTTTTTAAAAAGCCTGTTGCCATGGCAGATTGTGGTCACTTGTTATTTTCAAGGCCAAAAACACAATACAAGGTCTGACCATTTCCCCAGGTCATGCTTACTAATTTGTCTTATGTACATTTATACATATTTAAGTGCTAGGTAAAAGTCTTGTCATAAAATTTCCAGTACTACCATGTTTATAACATTGAGCTTTCCTACTGAGCTGCCAAAAAGATTTAACAGTTTTCAAGTGTAATAGTGCAAATTTCCTCTGCAAGATCTACTGCAGAGAAAGGTTCTTTGAAATACAGATTTTGTGTTAAAGGGACTGTTGGAAAAATTAGGTATAACATCTGGGAGAAACTGAAACCACCCCCGGACTTCACTCCCTAGCAAATAAAGTGATCATTTAACTTGGCCTCACAGGCTATGAAGTCATTGAAAGGTACTGTCCAAACTATGGCACTGTCACTTAAAAAAATTTTTTTTTTTTTTTTAACCACTCTATCTTGTGCCAGATCTTCACAGCTGTGACATGGTTTAAATTCCATAATCCATCCCCAAGAGGAGCCCACCCAAAGCAAAAATCAAATTTATCCATCCATTATAAGATGATCCATCCACAGACTATATCTTAACCTGATACAGTCATCATATTGTAGTTTTTGGAAGGGCTTGTTCTACCCAAGAGAAGTTCCTCCTTACAGCTGATTCTGCTGTCTACCATTTGCATGTTGCTGCTATTTTGTGTGCTACCTCCTGCTGGTGAGGCTTCATACAGCACACAGATGGAGCCATCCTCTCCGATTCTGTAGGACACTTCGTAGGGGTCAACCCAGAGTGTGAGTTCGCTGGGGAGAAGCCTGAACAGCTCCTGACTGCTCAGTCCAATCCGTTGTGCTGCCTGTCCAATCAGAGGATCCATTTTATGGTTGATGCGGATACAACGGTAACCTGATCCTTTGCACGGCTTCTCTGGAAACCAGTGATGTTTATAATGTTCTAAAAAAAAAAAAAAAAAAAGGCAGAACAAAAACAATGCTTAGATCTTTACTGTCAGCTCCGGCGGTAATTTCCTTCTGCTGGCTCACTTCAGGGGTAAAAATGAAATCTTATCAACTTTTTGAAATGTCCAGGACTGCATTCGCAGCTGGGCGTGTGCGGGGATGGGGAAGGAGAGGCCAAGGTTTGAGAAATGGCACAAAAACAACCTCCAGGAACCACCAACCGGCTGAGCCAACAGAACAGTCATCGCGCGCGCAGCCTCAGCCAGCCGGATGGCATCGACGGCCAGGCGGGAACCTGTTTACTTTCTCCACCCCACCCCAGGCCAACACAATGGAGTTTATGGCTTCGGAGAAGGGACACACCACCGGGACTGTTAACCCCGAAGGGAAGAAAAACAAGCCAACCTCAACCACGCTCTGGGCAGAGCTGTAATTGTACCGGTGACAAATCCGATGATTAATGGGCAGGGATGGGAGGTGCGGGAAGACGGGCACGTCTGTCCCATGCTGGCTCCGGGCAGCGGCGCGGCTGCCACCCGGGACCGACCGCCGACGACCCGCAACGGTTGCAGGCAGCTGGGGGAGGGGACTTCGAGCCAACCCCAGACCCGCAGCCCCTTTGTCCCCAAATCAGCGGACGGCTCTTGGACCGCACCGCAGCTCACGCCGTGGTAGCTTTTAGTTTCTTTGTTGTGTTTCCTTCTCGTCCCCCTCCCTCCATGTTTTCTAGGCGGCGGGGTGGGAGCGCCCTCGGCCCAACCCCCAAACACTGGCCGGCACCCGCCGTTAGTGTCCCACGGCGGGACTCGAGCGTGGCCGGCCCGGGGCGCTGCCGGGGTACGGGGCCCGCTGCCCCCAACTGCCCGCGGCCCGCTCACCTGCCATTAGCTCTTGCAAGCTCTGGCTGAAGGTCTGCAGCTGTCGCTCGCTCGTGAGCCCCTTGGTACGGAGGAACTTGGAGATGAAAGACACGGCGGCGGCGATCTCGCCTATCATGGTGGCGGCCCGAGTGTAGAAGGGATGCATGGGGGCGGCGGAGGGGGTGGCCCGGGGCGGCCGGGGCTCGGCGGCGCGGCCCCGACGGCGGAGCGGCCACCCCGGGCTCTCTCACGGGGCAGAGGACTGAGAGGAAAAGAGAGTGTGAGGGGCGGACGGCTACTTTTTTTCTTTCTTTTTAGTAAAAAAGTTATTTTCAAGACGGGAGGCGGCAGGAGAGACGAGTGACGGCGGCCTGGTCACATCGCTCGGACCCCCCAAGCCGCCTCCGCCTCCAGCTCCGCAGCCTCCGATACTTCCAAGAGTTGCATTTCCAGCTTCGAGGGGCGAAGAGATGAAGCTGCCGTGCAGCACTTTTTATAGTGCCTCGGAAAGGAAGTGGCGTACCTGGAGCGTGACAGCAGTCTCCATCCAATCCGGAGATCGCACCATTGTGACGTAAACAGATTCGGAGCTGGAGGGGGCGGGAAAAAGCGGACTGGGGGGCGGGTCCAGAGACCAAGAAGAGAGGGAGGAGCTGACGTAATCCGCTTGTAAACAAATAAACCCCGAGTGGCTGCCGGAGACCAAGATGCTGGCGGGGCGGCGAGGAAACAGAAGGTACGCGTGTGAAAGTTCCGCCTCCTGCGCTAGCTCCTCCTTCAAGTTTTAGCAACGCCAGGCCCTAAGCCAGGACGGTTTCTCGCAGGAGCGCGCTGTTGGCCCTCAGATATGAGGGCTGTTGCTGTGCAGACTAGAGCCAGGGCTGCTCGGATCGTGCTGCACGTACACGGCGCCGGCCCCCGCGCGTACTCTGTGTTTACATTCCCGTCCCGGCTCTGGGACTCCGCCAGCGAGAGGAGCGTGCGGCGCGGTGTGGATGCCAGGATTGTGGGTGCCTGCAAGCGCGCTGCGGAGGGAATGCGTCCTCGCTGTGCGTTCTGCCCCAGGGACAGGCTGCGGCCGCGGAGTCCTTTCTGCTCAACCCCGGGGATGGCGAGTGTAAGAGGGTGTGCGTGTGTACAAGTTTCCTTGCAAAGTGAATGGATAAAAGGTTTTTATGCTTTTCTGTTTCAACGTTACGAGAGTCACGAGAGAAAAAAGTGAGAACGTGACCTGAATTCAGCTTAATGCAGATGGGAAAAACAGTTATGTGGGTCCTGTAAAGCTTACCCTGTGTTGGGGGGGGGCGGAGGGGAAGTGAAACGCATTTTTAAACGTGTAGACACAAGACCAAGGATTGTTTTCTTTTATTCTAGTACAAATAAATGCTATCCGAGACACCGAATTGTCTTGTTCCTTTTTACAAAAATAAATAAATGTGAACTTTTTGAAAGTATTCATAGACATTAAAATTTATTTGCAACCCTACTTGGAGAATTTTGGAGAAGAGAAAAACTCAAAACAATGCGAGATGTAACTGCTAAAACGATTAGGCCTAAGACAGCGTTAGACTAAACTCCATTAAGGAGAAGGAAGGAAAAGAAAAAGGTGGTGAGGCTAGCAGATGGAGAAAGCAAACAAGAGGCAGAACTCTACCAGATGGAAATAAATATCCTGAGTTTAGTTGGTCATCAATATTGCAAAACACCACTTTGAGTTTTGTTTTTTTGTTGTTGTTTTTTAATACTTAGAGGAAGGATGGAAGGATTGTTGTTTAAATGCCGTTAAGTCGGTTACGAAAAAAACATGATAGTATAAAGCAGAAGAAAAAGTTTAATTATTTAAATGAGATGTGTAAAATAAAACTGGGCTAAACTTTTAGGTTATTTTTTCATTAAGAAACAATGAAATAACATTAATATTTAAAAATAGTATTGATAAAAAAATTGACTTTTGTGAACTTTCTGTCGATGTTGTTGTTGTTCTGTGCCTTGGAGTCGTTTCCGACTCATAGCGACCCTGTACATAGAAGCATCAACAATCATGGTAAATCATATCCTTTTTTTTTTTTCCATCTAGGACTTTTCAGATAGAATCTTGCTTAAAATAAAGATCATGATAAATTCCTTTACTGGGTGGGGCAGTGGGCTATGAAACCTTTTACTACTCTAAGAAGAGACAAACACAAGAAGTGAATCCATAAAATCACCTTAACCCAAAACAAGTTCTTCTGGTATCCTCTTGCCTCACCCACTCTTTATCATCTATTCTGTTCATTTCCCCAACATTATCAGTTATTTAAGCATTAGATTAGAAAGCAGGTGATAGTTCTTTCTCTTTCAAGTCTGACTTGTTCCCCCAATAATTCTGAGCTTGAGCTGACTCATCTACAAAACAGAAATATTGAAGTGCATAAAATGTTGAGATTTGAACTCAGGGTTGTATAAGCCCTTGTTTTCCCCAGTACAATTTACCTGCCTTCTTAAGTATCAGCTGACTTCTGACAACTTTATGAAATCAGTTGAATAGGGTGAGGAAAAGTTTGGAGTTCTGGTGTGGCGCTGTAGGTTAAGTAGTGTGCCACACAGCTGCCTCTCAGAAATCCTATACAGAGTTGCCATGAATCAGAACAGACTCTACAGCAGTTAACAATAACAATAAGGAAAACTTTAATGTATTGGTAGAGGTTTTTGTTTTTCTAAAAGGAGCACTTAGCATCTAACTGAAAATTTGGAGGTTCAAACACATCAACCATCCTGGAAAAAAGACATGGCACTAGGCTTCCATAAGATGGACAGCTTTGGGAACATTATGGAGCAGTTCTGCTTTGTCCTATAAGGTCTCTGTGAGCTGAAATCAAATGGATGATAATGGAGTTTAGACACCTCCCTCCATACAAATGAGCTCTTGTTTGTGTATTTCCCACCTTAAAGAGCAAGTTTTAGTGTCTCTTGACATCCAATTTGATCTTTTCTCTTTCCTGCCTTTTTAATCAGCTTTTGTTTTCTTCTTGTATGATGTTCTTGATGTCATCCACAACTCTTCTGGTCTTCAGTCATTGGTGTCTAATGCATCAAATGTTTTCTTGAGATAATCTCTAAATTCAGGTGAGATATTCTCAAGATCGTATCTTGACTCTCGTGGACTTGTTTTAATTTTCTTCAGCTTTAGTCTGAACTTGCATATGAGCAAATTGATGGTCTCTTTCACAGTCTGCCCTGGCCTTGTTTTGGCTGTTGATGTGGAGCTTTTCCACTGTCTGGTCCCACAGATGTAATCAGTTTCATTCCTGTGTATTCACTATGGTGGAGTTCATGTGTATTGTTGTTGTTAGGTGTCATCGAGTTGCTACCAACTCATAGCACCCCTATGCACAATACAAAGAAACTGCCTGGTCCTGGGCCAACCTCACCATTGTTGCCATCCTTGAGCCCATTGATGCATGTATATAGTCGCCATTTTTGTTGTTGATGATCATAATTTGCAGTTTATGATCTCCAGCATCATTTCTATCACCGATACCATACTGATCCTTCCTCTTTGTTTCCAGTCTTCACATTCTAGTCACCAGTAATTATCCATATATCTTGATTGCATGTTTGACCAGTTTCAGACTGAAGAAGTTGGTAAAATTCTTCAGTTTCATAATTGACTTTAGTGGTGGCTGTGTAGATATGAACATTCGTGGAATCATAGACAAGCTAAAGCAACTCAAATAAAGGGGGAAGTAAAACAGCTGAACAGAAAATTCCAAAGGGCAACAGGAGAAGAACAAGTATTATAATGAAACATGCAAAGACTCTGGAGTTAGAAAACCAACAGGGAAGAACACACAGTATTTCTCAGGTTGAAAAAACGAAAATATCTCAAGCCTGCAGTTTCAATATTGAAGGATTATATGGGCAAAATATTTAATGATGCAGGAGCATCAAAAGAAGATGGAAGGAATATATAGAGATGCTGTACCAAACATGATTGATTGATGCCCAATTATTTCAATAGGTTCAATAACTGGTGATATCGAAGGAAGAAAAAGTCTATCCTGCACTGAAAATATTTATGAAAAATAAGACTTCAGGAATTGATGGAATACAAACTGAAATATGTCTACGAACTAATGCAACACTGGAAACTCTCACTGATCTATGCCAAGAAAAATGGAAGACAGTTAGCTCTACCTGGCCAAATGATTGGAAGAGATTCATATTGGCACTCATTGCAAAGAAATGTAACCCAACAGGATGTGAAAATCATTTAATTTTTTACTTGTATGTAATATTAATGATAGATCATCTAATCATCTGTCATTAATAGCACATGCAAGTAAAATTTGCTTAAGAGAATTCCAAAATGATTGAAGTAGTACATCAACAGGGAGCTGCCAGAAATTCAAGCCAGATTCATAAGAGACTTGGAATGAGGAGATCTTGCTGACATCAAATGGATTTTAGCTAAAAGCAGAAACTATGAGAAAGATATTGCTTCTGTTTAACTATGCAGAAGAATTGGTGTAGATTGTAACAAAATGGATAACACTGCAAAAAATGGATTTCTCTTAATTAGTCATGAGGAACCTGTACCTAGACCAAGAGGCAGTCATTCAAACGGAACAAAGGGCATACTGAATGGTTTAAAATTAGGAGAGGTGTACACAACGATTGTATCCTTCACCATATTTATTCAATCTATATGCTGTACAGATAATCTGAGGTGGATTATTTGAAGAACATGATGTCCTGATTGGAGGAAGATTTACTAACAATCTGCAATGCACATGACACAACCTGGCTTGCTGGAAGTGAAGAAGATGTGAGCCTTATGGTATGGTTTGGACCTCAGTGTACCACACTAGTAGTCCATCAGTAACTCTGTTGTTCTGTTGTTATTAAGTGCTTTCAAGTTGGTTCCAACACATAGACACCTGATTAGGGTTTCTGAGGAGCAGCTGGTGAGTATGACCCACTGACTTTGCAGTTCAAACCGACCTTGCAGTCCAGGACATTAACCCACAGCACTGCACCAGAACTTCTTCAATAACTTTAGGGTCATTGTTATTATATGCCTTCCAGTCAATGATGATTGTGATTCAAACAAACCAAAAAACTAAACTCTGTGCTCTCCAGTAGATTGCAACTAATAATGACAGTAAAGAAGAAGTAGAACTACCCCGTAGGGTTCCCAAGGCTTTCGGTTAGCAGCGAAGTGCTTAACCACTGAGCCAACAGGCAGGCCTACTAATTCTGACCTCCTTCATAAGGTTTGTGTGAGTACTCTTCGTGTAGCTCTGTAGGATCAGCACTGGCCTGCTAACGACAGGGGCAACACTTCAAACTCACCAGCTGCTCCTTAGAAAGTCTATACAGGGTCACTATGTGTCTGAACTGGATGGGAGGAAACTTAACAAAAACAATGATTGGGATCATTCACAGTGACTGTTTAGCACTATGTATAGCCCTAAGTAAACCTCAT